AATACAACTTAACCACTGATTTCTAGTCGTGTCCATTTTTGGAAGGCCAAACAAAGTAGTTTCGCTTTCACAACGAAACAGCGTCACACACCACGGCCTACAGTGAGCCGAGGCCAGGGGATAAAGTGAGGAACGGCGGGAGGGTTAGAGTGAGCAGAGGCGGCGGCTTGAGAACAGCGCGGCCGGCGATTTCGATGAAGGAGCGTCTGGAAGGACATGTGACGACTCTGGGCTGGACTCCGCTTCCGATTCGGCGATCGACAGCGCAAAGTTATCGTATTTCCTCAGCAACCAGCACGGATCAGCTCCAGGCATGACGAAGCAGATATCGTCCTCTTTTGGAAGGCCAAACAAAGTAGTTTCGCTTTCACAACGAAGCACACAGTGTCTTTACGACATGGCGGCGGAAACAACAAAACTACAGCTAGAATAAAAGTTATGCCTTCTTTCTTTGCGTGAACATTTGGGTGGCGTTATGCAAATCTTCCCACAGAGCGACGTAGATATGTGGGGGCGTGTTAGAACGAGCCATTTTAGGAGGGCGTGGCTGACTCTTAAATTTTATAAAGAATATCTCTTTGGATTTGAAACTTTAGTCTTTGCAACTTTACAGATCTTCTTTATGCACCAAGAGCTTGTAACAGTCCAAAGAGAAAGGAAAAATTGAAATCGCATCATATGACCCCTTTAACAAAAAATGAAACCCAGAGGATATATATACAATAAAACAGTGAGTAGAGCATCAAGTTTAAGAGGGAACATCCAATTGTCAAACAATACTAGATAATACTAGACAATACTGGAACTGCACCCATCTCAGAATTATTGGTTGTGTTATTAAACATCTAGCCAATTTATAGTGGCTGTGCAGCTTGTAAGACATAATTTTTTATTTTATGTGTTCAAAATATGTGACAGGGAGCGAATGCAGAGGCAAAAAACAGCAATAATATGCAGCGATGCTATCAGAAAAGGACAAGGCTCTGGAGAGCAGAGTTTCCTGAAAATAAATAATCTTGCCTTTTCCCTCCATAACCTGCTATCTCCACACATCTGTGCTCTGTCCATGCCCCAGCCAAGGTGTAGCTCTTGAGTGTGATGACAGCTCTAAATGTACAGCTGGTGCCTTTCATCCCTGTCAGCCAATCAGATTCTATTGTACTCAGCTGCCCTCAGTTCAACCGTGCATTCCTTCTGGTCATGCTGTGGCCAGAAAGCCACAGCTCTAACAAGATAATTTTTTCTGATATACATAAACCTTTAGTTGCCGTATCATTGCATTTTCTCTCATATGATTGATATATACAGTAACTACACAACAGCAAGTTTAGGTCCTCGAAATTAGCACTAGGACTTTTCACTGTTTGTATCACTCCAGACAGACATTTTCAGTCACTCTTCCTACAAGTTACATCGATACACCAGTAGGTAGCGACAAGTGACTTTCTTATGTTGAGTTGAGTCATTTAAACATTCACTTTTCTTATTTGTTTAAGACATTGATTCATTCTGGTATGAAACAAGTGATTGCCTTAATGAGTGAGTCTTTGAATTCATTCATTTGATTTGTTCATAAACACTGACTCATTTAGGTATGAAACAAGTGACTGTCTTAATGAGTGAGTCACTGAATCATTCACTCTGATTTGTTCAAAAACACATATACATTTAAGAACAAAACAGATGACATTCTGAGTGAATCAATGAATCATTCACTCAAACGACTTGTTCAGCCGATTCGAAGAAACTGCCGATATTGTGTCTAAAATGTAAGTTTCTTGATATTAGCTTTTTGTGTAAATATAAAATGGCCTCATCCCTCGTCATTTAAAAAAAATAAAGGCCAGGCTGACAGCAAGTCATATGTCTCTTGTAGGTTCCCTCAGATGATTGGTGCGGTGGCGGTCCATCTGACAGTGGTGGTGAGATCCCTTGTAGACGTATGCGCAGTGGCAGCTACATAAAGGCCATGGGGGACGATGACAGTGCTGACTCAGACCCCAGCCCCAAAGCCTCACCCAAATCACCCCTCATTGCCCAGAGAGAAGCCTTCCGCCGCTCCGTCAGCATGGACCAGCGTTCCTCCACCACATCCAAGTCAGTTGTCACTTGGTTTTCAGTTTTAATTTTCAGACTCTGTGACCATTTTGTGTGGCTATTTTGAGATTTGTATTTGCACTATTAAAAAGTAGCACATTGGATTACCATGTAAAACCACAACAGTACAGGATAGAGTGGTGTATGTGTTTTGCTTTATGGGACTGAGAAGTGTAATTTGGGGCTTTAATGATGTACTCCTCTTCTTAGGTACTCATGTAAACAGTGTACAGACGTCTACCCGAACAGTCGAACCATACCTAAAGGCCACGCTCGGTCCCGTAGCGTCACACGCTGTCTGACCAGCACTCAGGTAAAACCACAGAGTGTTCACATTACATGTAGTTAGTTTTCCTAGTTGCTTTAATTATTTATTTTTCTTTCAATAATCATGAAAACTGGAAGTATTATGAATGTTGAAATGCATTGCTACGGTGTTGTACTGGTTGCTTGGGATATCTGGGTGATTGCTAAGGCAACAATAGGTGATCGCTAGGGAGTTCTGCTGGTTGGTTTGGTGATCTTGTTTGGAGTTCTGGTGATAACTAAGGCATCTTGCTAGTTGCTAGGGCATACCTAGGTAGTTATTACAGAATTATGGGTAGTTGCTAGAGCATAACTAAGTGGTGGCTTGGGTGTCCTGCTAGTTGCTAGGGAGTGTGGGCTGGTTTCTAGTGCATAACTAAATGGTGGTTTGGGTGTTCTGGTGGTTGCTAGGGTGTCCTACTAGTTGCTAGGGCATAACTAGGAAGTTTCCAGGGAGTTCTGGCTTGTTGCTAGGACATAACTAGGCAGTGACTTAGGTGTGGTGATTGCTAGGGCATCCTGCTAGTTGCGAGGGCATAACTTGGTAGTTGCTAGAGAGTTTTGGCTGATGGGCATAACTAGGCAGTGGCTTAGGTGTTCTAGTGATTGCTAGGGTATCCTTCTAGTTGCTAGGACATAACTAGGTGATTACTATGGAGTTCTGGGTAGTTGGTAACACATGACTAGGTGGTTGTTAGAGTGTTCTAGGTAAAGGCTTATTGGCCCAAAGTCAACAGAGCACACCCCCTCAAATTCTGGTCACTAGATATAACCCTGATTAGTAATAATGTGTGGTCATGTTCACCCTTTACACACACAATATCATTTATTAACTAAACAGTTGCATGAACAGTCTTGGTTATTTGCTGAAACATCTGCACTGTAAAAAATGACCGTGAATTTAACGGTAAAAGACTGTAAAAATGCTACAGTAAAAACCTGTTAAATAGTTAACGGTAAATTCCCCTACTATATACGGTGAAAAACTGTATTGGACATTACATGTATTGGACATTAATTTTACGGGATGGGCTTTGGTTCATCATGTGACTTTCTCATCACCACCTGCATTTGGTGGTTATCAGTGTATTACAAAGGTACAAAACAGATTTCAGTACTTCAATAGGTTGGTATATTAACATTATATCAGTTAATGAAATTACGGTATTTAACTGTAAATTTAAGTTAAAACCTAAAACGTTGCTACCGTATTTTTTACGGTAAAATTCCGGCAACCACAGCTGCCGGTTTTTTACCGTAAATTTTACGGAATTTTTTTTTACAGTGTGGATCTCAACCTTCATCTCAACCTCTTTGTGTGTTTTAGCTGGGTGACACTCTGAACCTGTTTGGAGAAATGGAATCACAGGCTGTCCAGGCACTGGACCTACCAGGATGCTTCCGCACCCGCAGTCACAGCTACGTACGGGCTATCCAAGCCGGCTGCTCCCAGGACGATGACTGCCTGTCTGTCTTCTCCATGTCTGGCCCACAGGGGAGCATGAAGGGCGAAGCAGGTGAATCATCAGCATGTGTTTATGTATGTGTGGGTATACCTAGTCTCCATGCTGTCACAGGGATTAGATTAGTGACTTAATGAGTTTTTGGATCAGTCTCATAGGAATTGCTGGAGAAACACGCTTCAGCCAAGGGATTTAGATCAAAACTGTTTTCCTTCTATCTCTATGTTCTCAGTATATCAAGACTGTAAACAAATATTACATTGTATAGACTTTAAAATGCTCAAATTCCCATGAGATTGTATGTCTCGTGTACTTTTACTCCGCTATTTTCCTCTGTTTGTGGTCGTTACATGCTTATTTTAATTTTATTTTTAACCATCAACGTGATTGGGTAGAGAGTAATAGGTCTCGTGACTTTCGTCAAATCAAATTGTGCATATAAAACTTTAACCGCCAGCTGTTTATCATGGCTGCTGGAAGCGCATTCTTCAAGCATCAATTCAGTCGCATCTTCCTCTAACTTAATATGTTAAGGTAAATTTCGGATTTC